CTCAAAATGTTTTTCATATTTTGGTGAAAACCCGACTTTGTGTTTTTCCAGAGTTTCTTGTTCATTTTGAATATTGTTTTTGTATTCATAAATCTTATATTGGTATACAGACTAATGTTTCCAGCTTTAGGAAAACTGAGATGTGTATTTGTACAGCATAACATTAAGCAACTCACATGTTGAGAGCCATTGCTTGGGAAAGATGGTTTGGAGGAGGAGTGTGGAGAGAGGTAAACTCCTCCACTGGATGCTTTGGAGCAGGTGGTGAAGTCCTGTCCCTTTCCATGGGCTGAACAGGGAAGCTGAAGTCAGTGACATTTCACAATTCAGGCATTTACATTCATTTGCATTTGTTCTCAGTTCATTTCACCATACAGAATCAGTGTGTGGAACAGTTTAATAGTGCTTCTCCTTTTTTGAGGTAGTTCTCTGCTGGTGTTGAGAATTTAACCTGTATTTATCTAATTCTTGGGCTTTCCTCACCACTTGTTCTTAGAGAATCCAGGACTTTGACAGATGTATCCCAACACATTTAGTATTAATATGTATATTAAATGGCAGAGAGCATCTGCTCTTTGCTTCTGCACTTCTACTTTGCTGTTGGGGTTTGTTGGTCAGTCAGTTGGGTTTCAGTTCTACATAATTTGTGGAGGAGGAAGATCCTTGTGATCTAATAGATATCAGATTGTAGGGGCATTTTGCTAAAGAATTCTGCTGCCAGCAAAATAAATCCCTGACTGCAGATCAAGCAGAACAAGGCAGTAGATGAGCTGTTGGGTCCTTTGGATAATAACGTCAAATAATGCTGCACAAGGTTGAAGCTGCAATCATAAATATGAATTCATTGCTATCATTTTAAGTATGAGAACTGATTAAATTATTTTCCCTTCAGTGGACTATATTTCCAAACATTAACGGTGTTTTCTCATGTGTTTTATCTTGAAATGAGGATGACAGCCTTTGGAAAAAAGTTGAGCATGTAGTGTCCATAGCCCTAAAACATGGAGGGAGCCCTCTGCAATCAGTCCAAGAGAGCAACCACAGCTTCCGCTGGAGAAAAGTGTCAAGTTTGTATTTTTGGTTTGTTTATTTTGCTGGCTTTTGATTCCTACACCTTCTCCTCTGCTGTGGTTTACTGTGGCTGCTGTTGCTGCTCATTTTCCCCATGATCTGCAGCACATGCAGCCACATTTGAGGTAAGACAAACTCAGGACATACCACAACTCTGAAGATTGTGTTTGCTATGCCACTACTGGCCAAATTAAAAGATCCAATTTATAAAAGTAGGCATCCTTTTTTGGATGCTTGACTAAAGCCTGTGTGTCCTTGTCTCCTGGGCAGCAAAGTTAGATTATTGTAATGGTTAATTGTTAATCAGAGATAAGCTATGTGTAGTGTCACTAAATGTGCTACTTTGATATTCAAGAAAGATCCAGGTTTTGTTTGGACATGGTACTACTAGAGAATAATGAAGTTGAATTTTGATTGACTTTTTGTAAGCTCTAAATGGAAATACAAATGTGGCAAGCCATTATGTTTCAGTTTAAACTTTGTGTCTTTCAATATAGATGCTATTGGTCATTTTCTGTAAAGAACATGGATGTATTGCAGTCTTCAATTTTTGTTCTAAAATGAAAATTTAGAAATTTTTTCTGTAAACAAAGCAATGTAATGAGCCTTTATATGAAAGGTAGGAATGCAACAATATGTGTGCTTTCCCTGCTTTTGCAAATGCCTTGCAGAGTAGAATGTCCTGATATTTTGTTGACTTTGATGGGGAAGAGTGTTTTTCACAGAGATTAGAAAAAAGTACTGTGCTTACTGTAATACTCTCATGAGATTGCTGGAAGGACAACAAAGCTTTCTCAGGATCCTTTATCTGAAAAACAAATCTGTGCAGACAAATAATTTCAGTGGCAGATGTCCATTACTAAGCTTTATAAATTCAGGGCAGTTCTGTGGGGATTCCCTGTATTCAGTCTTCCACTTGTTGTAGTCAATAATTTTTATAGACAACAAATTGTGGCTTTTATCTCTGTTTATCAGTAGATGAAAATTCTGTTTCCTCTACTGAAAAATAAATATTTTACCTTTATTAAATAATTGAATCAATACTTCTCTCTGTTCATTTTCTGCTATTACCCTGTCATTAGAAATGACTGGATTTCTTGATTACAAACACTTTTACCATGGTAGCTATGATATACAGGCTTATAAACATTAAATGAAAAATTTCCTTGTGATTTTTTCCTTTTTGTTTGTTTTGGGAGGTGTTTTTTTGTTGTTGTTTTTTCCATTGGGAAACAGCATTTTAGAAAATATAGCGTCAGATTTTGCATGGGTTGGCTCACTCTGTTCCCACAGCAGAGGGAACTAATGGAAATACTTAATACTTTGATTTGTGGCAGAACTCCCTATCAATTTACAGCTTTGTGTGTGCCTGAAAATCCCCAAAGCATCTTCTATGTGGCTTAGAATGAATTTCTTTAAATGTTGTTGTGCCTCTCATTGACTCTCCCTCATTTTCTTTTTTCCTTCTTCTTCTTTTTTATTTTTTTAAAATATATGAATAATGATACAATGAGGAAAGTCTGAAAAGTTTTTGGTGCTAAGTCTGTTTTTTTAAGGACTAGGAAGATGTTCTGGGTTATTCCTCACTAGGAGATACCAAGTCAATTCTTATTTTTCTTTTGCTTGAAAATACCAAAAGTGTGAAGTGATTTGTGATGGAAGCTGTGCTGCTGTGTCTGAGCCTGTTAGAAACATTGAGGGTGAAATCTCTCTGGAGATGGGAGTTTATTAGCTTTCATCTCAGGATCTACACTTTTAGTATAACAGTGCTCATTTCAGGTTGTCCCTGTGGAAAAGCAGTGATATGGCATGGCTCCAAACTCATTTTTGGGCAATAAGATCCAATCCCGTCTTATTTCCGTCTTCTGAATCTGAAAAACTGTGTGTTTTGCTTTGCAAAATGCTGTAGCAGTAAATGGATAATAGAATAAAAAAATGTAGATTTACATATTTAAATGACTTAGTTCTAGAAGTAGATTAGATTATTTGTTAAACTTTACCAAATATTTATGAGAAAAGAAAAAGTAAACATCAAGAGATCAGAATTAAAGATCCTTAATATAAATATTCTACAAATTAGGATATTATAAAAAATATAAATATTCTAAAAATGTTGTGCTGATGATGTCTCAACTGAAGTAATGTTCCCAGTCTAGGGTACCACATTTTAAACAAAATGTAGAAGAACTGAAAAAGCGTCAGGGAATGCAGGAGGAAAAAAAAATTGAAAAATGTGATCTTGCAGGAAATATTTGAAACAGCTTGGTTCATTTAGTTCAGGACAGACAAGAATGAGCTCAGCCTAATAATGATGTGAAGTACTTAGCAGTTAAAAAAAAAAAGAAAAGAAAGACAGTAATTGATTGTTTTCAATATCTGCTAGATTTAGATTAAGACTGAGATGCTTAATTTTCTCTGGACATGAAAGTAACGCAGATGCAGGAATGAGCTTTAATATTTAGGTTGCAATTATTACAAAGTAGATAAGAGCAAGGGTTACATGACTCCTGCCACAGAGCCCATTACTCAGTCGAGGCTGTTCTGGGACAGCTACAAAGCTTGATCTCAGAATCTGTCTGTTGGAAGGAGAGTGCAGAGCTCCAAATGCCACGATACAGCTTCCTCTTGCCCTTATTGCAGAATGTTCCATGGCCTTTTTTCCTCAGTAGTATAAAAAATGCTGATTTGTGCATTGGCTACCTGGACAGCTCTTTGTCCCTGTCAGTGAGGACAGGTAGGGGGACACACAAGATGTCTGCTACAAATAGCCTAAAATGTATTTCATCAAGTCTTGGAAAAGGTGAATGGCGTTCCTGATCTCTGTTGGTTGCCTTAAAATAATTTCTAAGAACCATTAAAATTACTACCTCTGCAAACTCAAAATATTTGTGGAATTCTAAACTTATGATATTCAAATAGTTTTGGCTCTGATTTGCTGTGATGGCGAAAGAGCTCTGCAGAGAGTAAGGATGGAGCCTTGAGTGAATGCAGCTGAATGTTCCCTCTGAGTGGGAGGACGTGTAAACATGCAGCTACATTATCCTCTGCTGAAGGGCAGCTCTGTGATGGGAGCTGCATCTGCAGCATGGCATTTGCAAAATGGAGCACTTGTGTGAGGATTTGGGAATAAATGGCTTCAGAAAAGTCTGTAGCAAGCTTGTAAACCAGCAGATATCAGGCAGTGTCTTCAGGTATACTCTGTGTACTTTTGGGGCTTGTATCCAAAGCACTGTAGCATTTGTTCCTTCAGCATTTTCTCAGCTCTCTTCTTTTTTCCCTACTAAGTAATTTAAAAACTATATGCAATAGTTAGAAGGTGCTTCCTATTTTCTAAGTTAGGAAATTAATGTAATGTTTATTTGCTGCTTTCTAGGGCAAAGTGGAAAGTTGAAAGCACATTTTTGGATAACATTTATGTTATCAGTGGCAGTGCACAGATTAGCTGGTTTGAAAACTGCTTGTCAATTTTATACATCTTGAATTGAATAGTAATTTGTACTCTCTAAGATAGTACAATGTAACTAATTAAACTAAGCTAGATGGCTATTTTCTTGTTTTTCTTTGCAGAGCATCACTCCTGTCAGCCACTGACTGTATGTGTATCATAGGTCATGCACCAAGAGTTAGTAAAGGATGGTGAAATATTTTAAACTCGCTACATCAAGATTTCGTGATCTCAAACACTCAGCCCTAAGTAGTGGCTTTGGAACATACATACACAAAATAAACAAATTCTGTTGTTCTTTACAAAGTCTTAGTGGATGGTCCAAACAATAAATATACTTACATTTTTAAAGAGTGTGAAATAGAAAAAAAAAAAAAGAAAGAAAACAACCCCAGTAATTAGTATTAAAACAATGCTATTGAGATTCCAGGCTTTCCAACTGCAGGGAGGGCTTTATTTTCAAGAAACCAAAGACAGAGGCGACTCAAGCCGCGGAGCTCTCGAACGGCTCTTTTTCCTCGGCAGCGCCGTGCTGCCTGCCGGGGGCCGGGTGCTCTTTGTGGTACCTGGCCGTGATGGCAGCGTAGGCACAGCCGTAGACGGCAGCTGCCAGCATCATCAGGCACACCACGCCGCACACCACGCCCGTGATGACCACGGTGGCGATGGCGTGGCGCAGGCTGACGGGCCTGGGCCTGGCCTTGGGCTCGCAGCCGCCGCGGCCGCCGTCCCCCGGCTCGCCGTGGTGGCCGTGCTTCGGCCAGCTCCGCTGCTCAAAGCCATGCTGGTGGCTGCTGGCCGGCTGCAGGGGAGCTGTCCTCAGAGGACAGGCCCCAAAGAGCTCGTAGGGGACTTTGAGGAGGTCCTTCCCCTTCCGAACGCCTGGCGCTGAGCAGATAATGCCGTCGCTAATTCCTCCTGAAATGACAAAGCAAGGTATTGTATTGTATTTCTTCCCTGTAGCCATGATATTTTCTGAAAAATCCTTTCATTAGGACTTTTCCCTCCTGAGGAGCTGAAGGCCTCAGGAAAGAAATGTAAACAATAACTTTCTGCTGCTGTGGGATGCAACAGGTGCATCTGTGATTGTTGCATGTTGGTTGTTTCTAATTAAGAGCCAATCACAGATGCAGCTGCACCGGACTCTGAGAGTCACAAGATTTTGTTATGCATTCTATTCTTGTTCTTTCAAGTCTTCTGATAATCTTTTTCTCTCTGTTCTTTTAGTATAGTTTTAATGTAGTATTTATATATATATATATATATATATATATATATAACAATATAATAAACCAGCCTTCTGAGAAACATGAAATCAAGCCTCACGTCTCCACACATAGAAAGTTCCCAACACCTTCCCGATGAAGGAAGGAATGGTGAATCTGACTCCATGTTCTCAGAAGGCTAATTTATTATTTTATGATACTATAATATGTTAAAGAATACTAAAGTATTCTATACTGAAGAATACAGAAAGGGTACTTACAGAAGGCTAAAAGATAGTAATGAAAAACTCATTATTCTTCCTAGAGCCCTGACATAGCTTGAGTTTGATTGGCTAATAAGTTAAAACAATTCACAGCAGAAACCAATGAAACAACTACCTGTTGGTAAACAATGTCCAACCACATTCCAAAGGAGTAAAACACAGGAGAAGCAAATCAGATAATTATTGTTTTCCTTTTTCTCTGAGGCTTCTCAGCTTGCCAGGAGAAAAATCTTGGGCAAAAGGATTTTTCAGAAAACAGGAATGCAACAATGATCTCAATATTTGATAGTTGCTGAATGACCTTAATATAAAATTTACATAAACATGAGGTAAATTTATAATCAGTTTCAACTTCATACTTTTCAAGATTTATTAAAACATTCAAGTATGTTTTAAAGGCTATTGCTCGATTAGATCAGTGGTGAGATTATTACACTTCAAACTCACATAAGAGAGGATTTTCAAGAAGCAGTCCATCAGGAGTTAGGTTACCTGTGCTTTTATGGATGCAAGTGTAAAAAAACCATGGTGGTAGAAAAATAAGAACTATCATAGATAAACAAAGAGGTATTGTTAAGTGCAAATCAGTTTTGTTCAACTTCTGACCACTGCTACTTTTTATGGTGCGAAATAGAAACAAGGAATTTAGAAAATATTTCCCACTTGGTTGAAATATCCCATGAAATTGTCATTGTTCTGACATCGTATGTTAACTGTAACAGGGCAAAGAGAAAGTTCACTGGGATGAATGTACCCATGAGGGATTTTTTGAAGTAAGGTTTGTGGATAGAAAATATACACAGATATAAAGGAGTTGAGTTTAAACAATCTATTACCCTGCTCAAATGCTAAATTTCATGATTGCTTAGAGCCAGCTTCCCCAAGGAGGTTTTTAGTAAAATGGGGAGAGAATTAGGAATCCATAGTCCTGGTAAATCATGGGGTTGTTCCTCAGTGTGTAGAGGAGAATACACCAAATGTAGCCCAGTCAGAGCACAGGGCTTTAGGGGTGTGGTATGTCAAGGAGTCCACAAGGCCAAAATCAATGTTGATATATTGTTAAAAAATTAACTAATCAAATCAACTGAATTTTCTTTCTATTCTATAGCCAAAATAATTCACTTTTCAGCTAAAGCCAGGCATAGATATTTTCATCCTGAAAAGACTTTGAGAAAGAAGTGAATACAGATGGTCCCAAGCTGAAATCTGGAGCCTACTCCACAATTAATGTTGATATTCCAGGACAGATTTGAGCATAGCAGGTCTCTTGGTCTTTAATGGTGAAACCCAAAGCATGGTTCCAGACATCTTCCATGTGTTAAATTGAATATGGATGTAGATAAACCTCCAAATCCTTCAATTCTTATCCTTTCATGGTTTTAAGTAAATAAATATGTGTGCTTGGAACAGAACCCTGGTGTTCCCCCTGAACTGAAGCATTCTCTATGATTTCCTGTGAGTATGCATGAAGTGTCAATTGCCCAGGATGGATTCAGCTAAACATACTCAAATATTCTGGACTTATATCTGCAGAGCCAGTGTGAAGTTTCATCCCATGTGTGTCATATAAGTAGTGGGAAACATTATTGTGTAATGTAACTAATTTTTCTTCATGTGGTTCAGACAAGTAATTTTAGGGAAATACAAACACAGAAGAGAACATAACACTTGGGCTTCCTTTAAAGCTTGTCGCTAAAATTAATTTGTAAGTTCCGTGTCACTTCATTTAATTAATCTGTACAGTGTTCAGAAAAATGGAAGGACATCAATGAATTTCTAGACAACATTGTTTTTTGAAGTAAATTATAATATTTATGCTCCTGGCAGAGTAATTAAGATAATCTGATGTATTTATCTTGGATCATTTCATTCTTCTACACAGAGAAGTCAATCCCTGCTGAATTTCCAGCATAATAGACTAAAGCCCTGTGATAAAGTAATATTTTAGCTATTCAAGATATGAAGGTTTTATTGCTGAGAGGAATTTAGCATTTTGTCTTTTCTGAAATTTACCTCACCCTAAGACCACTGCAGTAGTAATTGTGTCCCTGCATGGCCAGTGTGTGTTTCCAGCTGGCTGCAGAGCTCTGATCCCTGCAAAGGGCAGTCCATCAGTCTCAGGCCACATGGGCCACCTCCGCATCTCCTGTGCTGCACATTCTCCACACCACTCTGGCACAGAGACAGGCAATCAGTACTTTGGTCACATGCAAGCATCAAAGCCTGATTTATTAAAAAGAAAATTGCCCTGCTGTTCTGAATTCTCAGTCTGAACATACCTCCTGGGAGAAATAAATTAATTTCTTCTTACACTTAATTCCTTTAGAATTAAATCATGTTATCTTTTTCACAGCATATCTCATGAATATATTTAAAAGCAGGTGTGACCAAAATACTGTCATTACTATTTATAAACTTCACTTTTCTCTGTGTGATGCTGTGACACATTTCTGTCAGGAAATTGCCAATGAATTGAGTTCCTCTTCTGGTTTACAACAAATTAGGAAGTGATACTAGGTATTCATAAAATATTAAAGAACTACTAAGTCATAATTGATAGAAAAACTAGAAACCTGGGTTCTCTAAAGTTTGCTCAGTACTGATATCTGTCTTGATGTTTGCCATCATGCAACAGGTAAAAATCTTTAAAACAGTAGGTTGGTTTCCAGCAAAAATATATTGGTAGAATTAAAACAAGTGTATGTGCACAAGTATAGTTGTTTTATGTTTAGAAATGTCTATGTCTGAATTGACACACTACTGAACACACCTGTACCTGCTGTATGGGTGTGTGTGCATCCTTGCTCTTTCTCTGGGCACTGATACAAAGTCCCTCTCTGATTCTAGTTTGCCACCTGTGTCTACAAAAGCACTTACATTCTGACCTATGCATAAGAATGTGTGTTTATTTGAGGAAGTGACCTACAGTGTGGGGTAAATTTTTAAGCCATAGAAGTGAAGATCAGTAAGATGCTGCTTAAATATTCTCATGTACACTCTATATAATGAGAAAAATTCCTTACCTCTGTATAGAAAACTCTCCAGCCACAGTTTCATGCCAAAGATATTACAATTGCATTGCCAGGGATTATCTTTGAAGAGAACCACTTTCAGGTTTGGAAGTGATTCCAGCAGAATTCTTTCCATTTTCTGAAGTTTGTTATGCTTCACAGAGAGCAATGTTATATTCCCTGTGCTGTTTCCAAATGTCTCAGGCAATCGAATAATGCTGTTGGATGACAAGTCCAGTTCTTTTAGGTGTGGGAGGAAACTGAAAGTCTTGTTTTCTATATAATGAATCATATTTCTGGTTAGGTTTAAAACCTGTAGATACCTCAGTTTTTGGAACGCACCAGGTGCCACACTTGAGAGGGAATTATTAGACAAGTCCAAGATTTTGAGTAACGGCGTTGCAGTGAATGCGTTTTGGTTGATTCTCCAGATACGGTTGTTCTGCAACTGTAGTATCTGAATTTCGGGAGGTAAACGGGCAGGAATTTCAGTAAGTCCTCTGTTCCTGCAGTCTGCAGTCTTTGAGGCTGTGTAGCAGAGGCATTTTTCAGGGCAGCTGTGAACTGTGTGTGCCAACAAGATGATGCTCCAAACCAAAAGCCAGTTACCTGTATCACAAGTGAAAGAAGATTTTAAATTAGTTTAAAATGTTTGTGTTTAGGCAATACAGAGGCCATAAACACAACCAGAAGGTATACAGTTCCACAATAAACAATAATGGAGATACTGCAGAGTGTGTTTCTTTTATAACACATAAGTAAATTACAGATAGTGTTGAAGTACTTCTGTAATGGAGAATGAAGATAATGCTACCATGGTCTTAAAATGAAGTACTTCCCATGGTTTCTTTTTCAGTATAAATGGTTTTCAAGAGGATTTGCCATCAGTAGAGCAGTGATGTTTGAAGGGAATGTGACAGTTTCTTCTAAAATGATTAAATTAAAATCTCTCCCTTTCTGTCGTAGTAACAACTTTAAGATATCTTGTGTCAGAAGAATTGCAAGCAGAACTTCTATTTTTCATTGGTTTTACTAATATCACTGCCTGGAAGAATTGAGTCAATGTACCCTTGAAAGAATTACAAGCTTCAAAGACATAGCTATAAAAACTATTAGCAGTACTTTTTCAGCAATTCAGATCCTGTAAGATTCTCCTTTAAAATATCCATTTGTTCTTTTTCATTTAATTCCCTTCTCTGAATGCCCCTGTACTTCCCACAGATGCAGGTTTCCACACAGTCACCAGATATTTGTCAAAAGGCTTCTGAAAATATAAATTAGTTGACAGGAGTACTTAGTAATATTTAGTATTTATAATTATCTCCCTGATGTTCAGGTGGTTTTAATGGGGGGAAAAAAAAAAAAAAGCTTTTACCTTTTATGTCTTGCTAATGATCTTAACTTCGAAAACAAGGTACTTAAAGCTATGTTTGTATGCATATAGTGAAACATTAAAAAACTCAGTATAGAATAATTAGATTTTCTTTGACTCAAGAAAGTCAGAATGATGAATACTTTTCTAACATTGTTTTTGAGATGTTTCAAATAATTTTTACTATTTACTTTTTCAAAATGAAAACATTTTAGTTAGTTGCTATTTGAAACCTTTTGAAAACAAAGTAATTGCTGTTTATTGACTTACAGAGATCGAATGTGAATTACTGACATGGAATACCATATTGATGAAATAATGTATGATTATAGTAAGAAATATGGTAAATATATTAATGAGAGTTGTATTTTGAGACTACAGTTTAAGGAACAAATTACTCATTAATTTTCTCTCAGAAATGAAATATTTATATTAAAATTATACACAATCTTCTGCAATACTGAATTCTGCATCATAAAATTCACTTGAAAGAATCCAGCATTCCTGCATGCAAGGTAAACAATACTTTCAGTTCATTACACTGTTCTGCAACAGTTGGCTTCAGGAAGACAGCTTCCAATGCAGAGGAAAAATAAACTCTTGCTTGGCAAGGAAATGCTTTGCAAACAGAAATATTGCATTATTAATCTGAATGCTTCAGGATCTCACCTTTCATTCTGCTCTGCTTGTTCTTCCCCTGGTGGAAGATTTCAGTCCAGATTTCTGATGTAGAACAGTGACAGACACTGCTCTGATTCCCACTTCAAATCTGTAATGTGCTCATCCAGTTTCCTTCCTTGAGGTTTCTTGAGTTGGTGTCTGTGACTTGTGTAGAAGTGCAACAATTTCTACTCAATTACTCTATCAGCCTTTGTTTTTTTTCTTAATCACATTCTCCCCTCTCCCCCCTTTATGACTCTCAGAGACTTATTCTGCCTTTTAATCAGACAACAAGCCATGCAAGCAGTGTCTGTCCAGCTCTGACTGAACAGCTGTAATGTACAAATAATGACCTGATAACCTCGCCTCCTCAATTTGTTTAATCTCCACCAAAAGCAAAGCACAACAAATAAAGCTGCCTTTTTAATATCCAGTATGGATTCTGAATTCTGGTGGGTTATTAGCCAGGCTGTGTCAATTTTTGCAAGATCTCAACATGGATTTTCATTATCCTGGGCTGTGACTGGAGGCAGTGGAGTGTATAATATCACTACAAATAGTCCTGTGGGTTGATGACATGGTTTTGACAGTGCCCTTGTTTGCTCTTTAAGCTTATTCATCTGACATCCATTAGTTGTGCTGACAGGATTTTATTGCTTGGGAGTGCAGGACCAGTGGCTCCTTCCGTAAAAATGGCACACATCCTGGTATGGTCACCATGAATATTGAACAAATTAATTTATTTTCAAAGATATTGGAAAGATGTAGCAGATTATACTAAAATTTACTTAATGTGTGGTGCCTTGTCTTGTTTCTTTGTTATTTCTTCAGTAGAACCCATACTGTGCCATCTACACCAATAAAAGGATTAATGACTTGTGACTGTGATGGAACTCAGAAGTGTTGAAAGGCATGAGAGATCTTGTAAATAATTGAGTCTTTCCAGGCCATATGATCACTCCATTTTTGAGCTGTCCTATGGAGAGGGAAGTTGTGCAATCAAAACATTTCAGACCTATAATCCAGCTTTCTTGGCTACAAATTCTGCTTTAGGTGCTTTTGAAAAGATCACATAAAGCTCCCTTTCCAGGTCAAAATTTATATGATGTAGGCAATTATCTAGAAGGAGTACTAGAAAAATCAGATCACAAGGTCCAAACTGGTGTTGAAATCAGAAGTCATCCAGGGTCCTGTCAAGTTGAGACTTTCATATTTCCAGTGACAGATTCTATCACTTTTCTAGGCAACCTTCTCCAGTGTGTTACTCAGAATCAATAATTTTTTCTTGCATCCAGTGAGAGTTTTCCTTGGAGCAGCTTGTGTCCCTCCCCTCTTGCCCTGTCACTATGAACCCTTGTGAAGAGAGTAAGCCCACCTTTCCCATAGGTACCTTTTGGTTTCCCAAAGCCTGTGCTGTGCTCTGTCCCCCTGGCTCAGGGCAGGGCTGTGCCTGTCAGTGTCCTCTGCCTTGCTCTGTTGTTCCTGACATCAGCCAAGATACCCAGAGGAGCAGTGGCTACATGGGAACAGTGAAGGAGAACGTAGGAAAATCCTCATTCTGTCAAGTAAACATGATTGTTCATCTTGAGGACCCCAGGATTACTGCTGTGAGCAGCAGACCTTACTGTCCTTGACATTCTTGATGGATGGCACCTTGTCCTGATGTGGGGTGAAGCCTGGGATTTACTGTGGAGGAACACTACAAATGTGGATAACCTGTGCCACAGTCATCCTCGTTAACCCCAACTTCACAAAAAAGAGGAGAGAAGCTTAAAGATCAATTGTACTCTACCTTAGATTAAGTCAGATTAATGCAAAAAAGTTTTTTAACTTTTGTATCATGATACATTTATTTGCTTTTTCTAAGGCCTGTCTTAAAAAATACCCATGAATCCTTTTAGTGGAGACACAATTAAATGTAAAAAGGTCTGTTATAAAATAGCATCTTCCTTAGAAGTTGTACCCATGTTAGCTATGGATACTCTTACAAAGAATAAAGTTAGGTCAAGTAGTTTTTTCTTGAGATGACATCCCACTCTCCTTGCATTAACTCATCCCTTGTATCAGTGGCAGCTCTTTTCATGACTTTTGATTAATGTTGCAGGAGGTAATAGCTATTATATTACTGGGTTTTTGTGTGATAAGATGCTTTTAAATTCTCTTTGGTATCTATAATTTTATTTGGCTTATGAATTCAAAGGTTTCTTTTTAAAGTTATTTTTCCATCTTAACTAATATTTGCTGTCCAGATGGGTATACAAGCTCTCACTGCAGTTCATTTCATGTAACAGTGGGCTTAAAGAATGTCTCTTAACTGCTTTCCTATTTTAGGTAAGTCTTTTCAACTATAATTGTATTATTTTTAGTATGCACCATATTACAGAGATGTTCACAGGACGAGGTCACAGAAAGTTAAGCCCTGTTGGAGGTTCAGTTCCAGCAATAATGCAGAAGTTGTTTTATTTATTTGGAATCATGGTATAAGAAGTTACTACTTTTTAAAAAATCTTCATGCTGGGTTCAGATTTGGAAACATATGATTAAATCTGTCAATTTGCTTTTCATGTAGATGTGGCTATTTTTTCCTTATATTGAGAACTCTGAATGAACATGTTTTGTAAACAGAAGTTTCCCCAACCTATAATCCATGTCCTATTCCCATTTATTAGGAATAAAACTTTGGTTGTGACAGAGAAGTCTGATGTGGTGAAAATTACAGTCGTGTCACAGGTAGAGATTTGCCAGAAACAGGATAACCATGAAACCTACTCTTACTTCTGGCCTTTTGAACCACCAGCAGGATTCTTTTCAGTTGTCTGATGTGGTACAGCAACTGTTTTTGCAGCCTCTTAAATTAGTCTGTGCCTTGTTGTAGCAAGGTATGTTTCCCATTGCAAGGAGCAAGAAAGCCCCATGAGCTAATATCTGATCCCTGCTGGCTGAGGGGGCAGCTCTGTCTCTGCTTTGCCAGCAAACTCTTTGTTGCAGCAATTACTGCCATCTGCTTTAAAGGAGGTCTATGTGTAAGAATCATCTCTTTTACAGAAGAACATTATGTAATTAAACTCTAGCAGAAAGGAAACAATTTAAATATTTCAGATATTTAAAAGTTACAGGATTTGGATTCCATTGCATTGTATATTGAGTCCAGGCAGACACAATTATATTAAAAAATGTTCCCCAGACCACAGCAGACAATTCCTATACATACCCTTTATTAGATTTATTTTCCTTATGCTTTTGAGTGGGAAAGAATTAAAACTGAGATACTTTCAGGGAAATGGCATGTGCTTTCTCTTTACTAATGTGTGTCTCCAGATTGGTGAAAGAGCTAAGCTCTTTGCTCATGACCCTAAATGAAACTTTGGGTAAATGCAAACTCCTCTTCATTTTGGTGCAGGACAAAGAAAAAAAATGTATTTGTTGGTGAAACAGCTCATACCTTTGTTAAAATTCTTCCCCTTTGACTGGCGCTTTAAAAAATACAGTAGTGCATGATGGAGAGAGGCTGTGCCCTTTCCCGAGTCACAACGATGTGCAGAGGTGGCAGGGCAAAAGAGACCTGGCAGTCCCTCATGCTTTTCTTTCTTCAAGGGTATTCCTTGTACTCTGAGAGCTCAAAACTCTCTCAAATATTTCCTGGCAGGATACTAGCTTTTCAAAAGTTGTCAAATTTAGAGGAAGACCCTAGATCCTGTTTCTGCTTGCTTTTCACAACAGCAGTATAAGTCAGTGGATCAAACTACTTTTGGCTCAAGGAAGATTTATACCGTAAAAATCAGGCCATATTTTCCAGAGAGGTGGGCTTTTGGGTTTCTTCAGACATCCTTTGTTCTTCAGCATAAGAGGGGAGGAATATCAGCTAGAATTTAATAATGTCAAATGCTGGTTATGACACAGCATAAGGAGACACCATGATTTCTTTGTGTCTGTACTATTTGAGTTTGGTGTTATTTGATGGTGTCCCTTTCAGGTGGGAAGAAATGTTGTGCAGCTCTAGAAACAAGAAACCAGGCAGAGAGTTGTGATTTTGTACAGGGAAAGAGCCCAATTTTTCCTTTCCAGTGGCTTGTTTTGCCTTACTTAGATACATCTGGTACTTGTTTATACAGTGAGTAATTAATCTATGAAATGCATTGTTGAAAGTTATCCTTGGGCCAGAAGATTAGTAGGAATCATATATAATCTTGAGCCATAGTTACCTCATGGGGAAAAAAAAATAATTTAGAAGG